GGGGAGGGAGGGGGGTGCAGATCGTGGCCCCTGCAGTGAGAGAGGGAGTAGGGCAGGCACTGCCCAGCTGGGACAGGGCAGGGCGCTACAAGGAGCTGGGAGTTGCTCATCTGGGAGCCACAGGGAGGGGATGCCTCCTGCTGCTACACACACCCTGGGAGGGCATGGGAGGTATGTGCCCCCAGGATCTGTGCACAGGGCAAGGGTGGGCTGCCACTGCAGGCAGGGGCCAGGGCTGCACTGAGCTCTTCCTGGCAGGGGGGCTGAGCTAGGGCTGTGCTCAGGGCAGGCAGCAGTGGTGCTGCGAGGGGGGTCTAGGGCAAATTTTGGGGTGGCTGCAGGCCCCACCCTCCATAGCTCCCCTCCCAGCACCGCTGCTGCCACCCACCCCGAGCGTGGCCCGGCTCAGCCCCCTGTCAGGAAGAGCTCAGCGCAGCTAGGAACAACATGGAACAGCTTCTAGTTCTGCTGAGAATGTTCTAGAATAGAAGTAAGAATTTCTGTGTTGGAAGTTAATTGTTGGCTTACAAACTATTTTGTGTGTTAATTTGAAATTGATAAACGTTGTGATTTGTGTTTTTGTCTTTTTTTCTGGCTAACCTCTATGTATATATGAGGAAAAATGTTTGAAAACCATGTTAAGCTACATAGAGAAGTTGCAGCTTACAGCAGTCTTGCCTGCTCTTAAAGAAAGAATTGATGTTTTGGATGTTTGTAATTTACATGATGGCATACCTGAAGAAAATTAAATACTCATATTAACACAAAGAATAACTAGTGCTACATATCTTAATGTTTTAAATTTATTATTATTTATTTAACACCCAAAGTATCCTGACTTGTAGAAATAACAAGATAATAAGCATGTTAGAAATACGTGTTGTAAAATTTTGTATGTGTTTTTGAAGTCAGCTATTCAGTTGCTGTGCTGTTACTGTTGCTTAATGTACTAAATATGATTTTTTTACCGTCACATTTTCTTCCATCTCTTCCTGCTTATTGCTTATATGATCCCACTGACTTGTTGCATGCTAAATGTGTAAGTTGTTTGAGAGGCAAGGATGTCTTAGGGTGATAGCTGTTATTGGACCAACTCCAACTGTGCAGTTGGGATAGCATTAGACACGCTTTTGAATGCAGGACGTTCTTCGTCAGGTCAAGTAAGCAGCAGATTTCAGTATCTTCCATGTGGTGGTGGTGTAGGTATGATTGTTCAGAAGTTATGCAAGAGGCAAGCATTTCTTGGGGTGCTACCTTTTATTACACCAACTGTGTAGTTGCAGTAGAGTTAGACATCATGACCTGCTGAAGAATGTGCTGCATTTGAAAGCTCGTTTAACTATCTCAACTATGCAGTTGGTCCAATAACGTGGGTCACCTGAAGACATTCTTGCCTGTTGCATAACTTCTGGATCATCACTCTTACACAATTGAAAGTTGTTTGAGGAGCGTTCAATGTCTAGCACAATAATATTTTTAATTAGTGCAAAGTGGCAAGTATTCGATGCAGATTCGGATTCAGTCAATTCGGATGGACAGTGATTCGATTTGGTGATTTGAATCATTGTCCCGATTTGATTTGGCCAATTCGGATTCAAAGATTTGGTGCTGATTTGGAGATTTGGCCATAGGCTAAACAGGCAGGAGTCCTCAAGGACGCTGGACACAGCTGCTCCCAGCTGGTAAGTCTGTTGTGGTGGGGGGAGTGAAGGGGCAGAGGGTGAAGATCCGTGCCCCCACAGGGAGGGAGGGATTGGGGCTGGGACTGGGACAATGGATCTGTATGGGGTGGGCTGGGCCCGGCTGCCCTTTGGATGGGCAGTGGAAGGTGCTGGGAGTGGGGGCTCTGCCCTGCTGCTGCTTGTCCAGAGTGGGGGGGCGGGGGGGGGGGGGGGGGGGGGGGGGGAGTGGGGTCTATGCCCTGCTGCCACTTGCCCAGCTGGGGCAGGGAAGCATGGGATGGTGCTGCTGAGCTGCGTCGGACAAGTGGGGCACAGTGGCGGAAGCCGCTCCAGCCTCCCTGCGCCTCCTGGACAAGCCGCAGCTTCACTCTGCTGCGCCCCAGCTGGGCAAGCAGCAGCTGGGCATGGTGGCGGGCACGTGCACCCAGATCAGGGAGGGTCTGGCGGCAGGGTCTATGGGGAATATTAGGGTGTCTGCAGCTCCCACATAGCCTCCGCTCTGTTGGCTACAAAGGACCAACTCATGGGATCATAATACATTCTAGTTTATTGGACAGGATGTGAAATTACCAACAAATCATAAATGCAAATGTTGAGTTATGAGTGGAACTGGTCACCTTTAGCGCAGGGGTTTAGGTTGTAGCCGTGTTGGTCTAAGGACATAGGCAGACAAGGTTCCTTGGGTGAATTTGATATCTTTTATTACACCAACCCAAATGGTTGGAGAACAGTTATTAAAGCAAGCTTTCGGGTTCAAAAACCCTTCGTCAGTCTAAGGAAGCTTCAGCAGTTGGTGTGTGCTCTTCCTGGAT